CAGAGCCCAGCTCCCGCATCCCTCTGCCCTCCTCCTCCTCCTCCCCCGTCAGCAGAGCCACATCCAGGACCTCGATCCCAGCCCCATTTCTGGAAAATGCCCCATGTGGCGTGGGAGCTGTAGGCCCGCGGAAACGGGCCGCTGGGGCGGGGAGAGCTGGGCAGGGGCCTCTCCTGGACCTCTAGGTTCCCAGGGCACCGACCATCAGCCAAACGCAGCCAGGGTGGGGCCTGTCCCTGCATCACTCAGAGCTCTGAGCTGTCCAGGACCCCAGGACGGACACAGGAGTGGGACAGTGGGACCCTGAGCGCCCTGGAAGAGAGGCTCCAGGGACTGGTGTCGGAGGGGGGCCAGCATTGGTTCTTTCTTCCCCTCCCCCTCCTTTCCCGAGGACACTTCCTTGGGGCAGTGACCCCTGGAAGCAGAGGAGAGGGCAGCCCCATGGCACCATGTCAGGGTTTTGCCAGGGAAGGTGCTTACCCTGACTGGTGGCTCTGGTCACAGGGTCCCTGAGTAGGTGTGTGGGCCACCTCCCAGCTCACACTCCTAGCCCACGGCCACCACACTTGCCAGGTGGGCCCAGGCTGGCCAGAGCTGCTGCTAGGACATTGGTCTGCCCGTAACGCCTGCAATAGAACCCTCTCTGTCTCTGGGACAGTGGCTGGAAGGGATGGCCAGGCCACAGGCAGGTTCTGTTAGGGCAGCGAAGGTCATGTGAGGATCCAAAGCACCCTCAAAGCTTTGGGGTACGGAGGGGGCTGGTGGTGCGACTCTGAGTTCAGGGGCTGGGTGGATAGGCTGAGGCATGGCTGTGAGGGAGCATGGATGGACAGACACATGAGTGGTGTGTATAGACAGGGGCAAGTGGTGGAGAGACAGGCGGATGGGTTAAAGGATGGATGGGGGAGGCGGGATCAAGTGTCAGGACGGAGTAATGGACGGAGAGATGGATGGATGAGTAGATAGATGGGCAGTCATATGAACAAATGGGTGAGTCGGTGGGTGGATGGGTGAATAGATGGCCAGACAGACGACTGGGTTGGTCAAAAGGAAGAACTGATGAGAGAAGAGAATCAATAAATAATTGTAGATGGGCTGAGAGGATAAAGGCTGGACATGCTACTAGCTGGAGTGGGCTGGGACAGGCAAGATGGGTGGATGACAGAGACCAGGCTTTGGTGTCATTTTGGGGATATATTTGGAACAATTGGCGAACAGGAGAAAGGGCCCAAGCCGATCCCGCTCCACCATGTTGTTGGGATGAAAACAAAACCGACACCTCCCTGCCCCTCTCCTGTCCATCTCCCTCTGCCATTGAACCTTTTGGGGCCCTGATGAGTAACCCCACTTGCCAAGTCCACAGGGCAGCCTCCTCTTGGGAGGCCAGCTTCCCTTGTCCTACAGCTCTTATCGCCTGGACCTGAGCTTTTCTCTTTGCCCTGGAAACACCCAAGGCTTCCCTGTGTCCTGCTGAGCCTGGGGATGGGGACCCTCTCTGCTCAGATGAGGTCTGGGGTTCGCCAGCCTGTCCATGGAATGGGAGGCACTGGTCTTCGCCAACAGAATACCCCTCAGACACCACCTGGGGATGGTGACATCCTCTGGGCAAGACCAGCCTGGGTCCAGGGCAGGACGGAAAATAAGGAGACGAGAGGAGGGGATGGGAAAGGTTGAGGGTCACACACCGGGGCACTTTCCCATGGGGGTGAAAGAGAGGGGCTCGAGGTGTCAGCGTGGATCCTGTCTTGCCCATGGGCTGCGGGCTCTGGCCGCTGCCTTCCTGTCATAGTTTTGGCCTCAGGACGGGAGAGGTATTTTGGTTTGATTTGCAGGGAAGGAGGCTCTTCAAGCAGCTGCATCTCACAGCTTTTGGGTCACCTGCATGGGGGTGGCCTGCAGAGAGGAGACCCTGGCACGCCACACCCCAGGTCCATGGTCTGTGAGCTCAGGAGGTACCAGGGCAGGACGACCTCTGAGCAGAGAGCAGGAGGCCAGATTCCCTTTGTGTAAGAAAGGGAGGGACCCCAGGTATGACACGGGGGCTGTATGGACACTCGGGTTTAGTGCCACTAGGCCAACTCCTAAAGCACAAGCTCTGAGCTCCCCCAGAGCCTCTGATTCCATGTTTGGTTGTGAGGTCTTTGGCCACACAGGGCCTCAGCACAGTGATGGACAGAACCAGCTCCGGAAGCAAAGCCCTGGGCGGGCGCCGCAGGAGAAGCTGCCTCCTCTGGCTGACAGTCTTCACCAGGTCATCCCCCACCGCCCATTCTGGGCCTGCCTTCCTCACCTTCAGCCCGCCTAGCTGCCGTGCCCTGACCTGAGGATGCTCTCGGCCCGCGGGGGCTGTCCGTGGGCCTGTGGTCGGCCCTCATGGTGGGTTTCTGCAGCCACACCCGTGGTGGCTTCTGGGTACATGGGATCTGGATGTGAGAAACACACCAGGAAACTTTTCACAGATGGCTTGAGAGCATCCTCTGCCCAATAGCTGGGGTGGGAGGGGCTGCCCCATCTCAGGCCCTCAGCCCATGGTCCAGCCCTGAGGGTTGGTCTGGCCTGGACGTTGCTCGTGTCCCTGGCATACCTGCTTGTCCCCAAAGGGGGACCATGCAAAGGGAAGGGGAACAGAGGCCTGCAGGCAAACCTGTGAGTCTCTAAGGCGAGGGGCTCCCCCACGACCTGCCTCAGACCAGCGGCCTCATCCCCAAGTCCAGACAGCAGGGCTGTGAGTAGTCAGAGCCTTGGCCCCCCTCTGCCAGACCCCCAGTGTGCCCAGGGCAGACACTCCTCAGACACCCCGTTCAGCAGCACCAGAGTCCAAAGTGCCTGCCTCCAAGGGGAGGCCAACCCATTTCACCTCACCTCGGAAACCGCTGTTCTAACAGGTCCCCCACTGACAAGAGAGAAACAGCAGGCTGGGAGCATGCCAGGCGGGGCTCTGCTGCCTGGGGAGCCCCCATCCCAGACGGGTGCTCGCTTCCCTGAAATCCACCAACGCAAACCTCCGCGAGCCTGACGGACCCACTCACCAGGCACCAGGGACGGCGGCTGGAGGGGAACCTTTCTGGAGGATAACACAGATCTATCTTGGACTTAGGTCTATTTCAGAATTAGGTTTCCACCGTCAGGTGTGGCTTGGGATGGCACCTGGTCTGTGGCAACCAGATGAAATCCATCTTTTCAATACGCAAAGAATGAATTCTCACAACTGAAAAAAGAAGGAAAAGAAAAATAACAGTAATCCAACACACCCATTGCTCCTCGTAGGACCACAGTTCAGCTTTCTTTGAAAACCGATTTTCTACACTTCGACATACTTCTGCGGTTTCTCTTAATTTTTTTTTTTTATTTGGCAAACATCTCTTCTTTATTATCATCATGAATATCATTATTTGGACCTCTGCAAGGACTATATACATTCACATTAACGTACACTATTGACTTCTTGCCTCTCGGTGGGGCCCCCCCAGGAACCCCGGTTTCAGTAGCTGGTCACTCTCCGTATTGCACTCCAGTCCTGGGAACTTCTCACAGCGATGCAAGAAAATACCAGATCATGGACCACGCTGCTGTCTGTTCTCCATTCAGAACAGGTGAGCATTTCCTTACTCCTTTATTTCCTCCTTGAGATCGCTTGGGGGACAGGCGTGGGGGAGGGAGGACGGCGCTCGAGTGAGGGGGCGTCCCCTCGGGGTCAGCTGGACAGAAACATGAGGTTATACACAGCTGACTACGTCTCCAGAGGATGCTCAGAGGGCGGACTGTCCTTGTTTGTAGTTTTTTTTTTTCTTTTTTCTCTTTTTCTGCAAAAGTGTGAAGAAGAGCAGGTGGAGGGGACCCTGGGGGAGGGTGGCGACGAGGCAGAGACGCGTTGGGCGGGGTGGCACGGAGGAGGGGAGAAGAGGTAGAGGAGGAAACACGGAGAAGCAGTCGCTGTAGGCGCTGTTGCTGTCTCCTCGTGCTCTGAAAAGCACTCAAGAATCAACCCGAAAGATTGTCACAGTTTTGTTTCAGAACTATGCTCTCTCTGGGAAGGACACGTTAGCACTTTTTTTTTCCCACAAGTGGAAGAAATGAAATGTGATGAAAATTCACAGAGGGCATGAGGACAGACGGAGGTCTCTTCCTCTGCACACGTGTTGCGCGTGGCGAGGTGTGCCCCGTGCGCACACGCAGACACCCTCGCGCGCGGGTGGGGGCAGAGGGGCTTCGAGACCCACCGCCCAGTGCCCAGCACAGGCGCTGCCGTCTAGTCAAAACAGAGACACAAGTTGCTTCTTTTTGGGCAAAAACCCTCCACACCCCAATATCCCAAACTCTGGAAACAGAATCAAAAGAAAAGACCGACATCTGAACGAACCCAAGAGTGGAGTAAAACAGTGAAAAAAATACTTTGGCAGTGACAAACGAATTTTGGATTTTTGACTTCTCGTGTTTGCTTTTTGGGTTTCCTTTGGAGCAGAGGTGTGTGCGGCATCCTTGGCTGGCTAGCTGGCAAGGTAGTTTACAGGTATGCTTCCTTTACTTTTTTAAAAAAACTTTTTGGATTTCTACTTAAAGCCAAAGAGTTTGACATTAAAGGGAAAAAAACCAAAAAACCAAAAAACAAAACATCTGAAACCAAAAATGCTTCTTGGGTCAGAAACTGAAGTCTTTCTCACTATCTTCACCGAACCGGCCACGTACCCCTGGGGTAGTTTCGGTGACGCAGAGGCTCAGATCTCCGGCTAGAAAAGAACAGTTTTCTTTTTCCCTTTTTAATCAGAAAGGGGGGGAAAAAACCCCACAGTTTTCTTTGTCCATTTCTGAGTAGCTCTTTTGCCATAAAAATCCCCCAAAATTCTTCACTGAAAATATAAGCCACCAAACAATTAGGTTTTTCATTAGAGAGAAAGTGTGTGAAAGTCATCAAGACAGAAAGAGGAGGGAGGGGGAGGGGGGAGAGACAGAGGAAGGGCAGTGGACAGTGGACGAGCTGGTGGTGCCCCAGCCCGGTCCGCGCCGTTGTCTAAAGCTCGGTGGGAGGTTCTGAGGATGCTTGAAGAAGAGGTTGTCGCGTGAGACCGTCAGGTAGCTGAGGAAGTTGCGTTGAATGCAGTTTCTGTTGGTTCTGTGTTTTCTTTTGGAGAGAAGCAGTAGCAGCAGTGACTCCAATGGTCAGGCTCCCAGGGCCGGGGGAAGCCTCCGGCGGCGGCTGGGGCTGGGCGGGGTTGGTGGGCGCATGTCCGTGGGCCGAGCAGCGGGTCTGGCAGGGGTCAGCGGGGCGCGGCGTCCAGCGGGCCAGGGGAGCCAGGGCGAGAGGGCCCCGTGGAGCCAGCTTCGCTGGGGCTCGCGGCACCTGTGGGCAGGCAGGGGCCCAGGCTGGTGGTGGCGTCGGGCTGTCCGGGGACCGGGTCGGCCACCACGGCCGAGGGGCCCTGCAGGCTCTGACCGCACACGTGGTGGTGCTTCTCCCAGTCCTTGTGCTGGCAGAAGGAGCCGCAGTAGCGGGCTGCATTGCAGCCGCTGCACGTCTCGCTGGCCTTGCGCCCACAGTTCCAGCAGCTCTGGATTGGGTGGAGGAGATGGTCAGGGTGGGCCACTCCAAATCCCCACAGTACCCAGCCCGGCTGCAGAACGGGAAAGACACCCTCCAACCAAGCTGGCTTAGACCCCGCCAGGGTGTCACGTGAGACAGAAAGACCTCCAAGTGCTACAGCTGGTGGTGACCATTAGCAAACACGGCCCCTCGGCTGAGACATTTTGGGGGACCGGGCATCACACAACTCTAGCCCACCCCGGATGGGTTCATGCTGGGCTTCCAGGGAGCCACAGCCCCTTCCCTCTCTTTTCGGAAACCCTCCCGCCCCGCCAGGGCTCCAGTGCTGAATGTAGGGGCCCTGGCGGAACAGACCGCCACGCTCCAATGTGGGGTGCATGGCAGGCCTGCCTCGGTCATGTCCTTCCCCTACCACTGGGCTTCTGCTCCCTTTCTGTGGAACAAACATAACCCAGCCAGCCACGTGGGTAGGTGGGCAGGCACGCTGGTGGGCAAGGAAGTCAAACCTGCCCTGGGGAAGGACCCAGGTGCCCATTTAACCTTCAAAGCCTCTTGGACCCCGACACCTCCTGCGGTCCCTGGCTCACCCTGCTCGGCCACACTGGTCTGCAGTCCTCACTCTGCCAGACGTGCCCAGCCCCCACCCAGCCTCTGTCCCTGCTGCTCCCTCCTGGGATGACACTGCTCCCTGATTCCGGCGTGCTGGCTCACTTCCTCCAGGACTGCTCAGACTGCAGGGAGCCCTGCCTGGCGCCCCGCCCTCCTTCCTACACAGATGCACAGCCTGAAATGCTCCAGGCTTCACATCCGAACACCAGCGTGGTAGCCGTCTCACACCCTTCCCGCATGCACACATGTGCCAGGAGCCGAGGACGTGCTCTAGAAGCCACGGGGGGCGGTCTTTGCTCCCTCCTCTGGCCTCCTGCTTTCACCGGTTAGAGAGAACATGAGCTTGGGTGTCAGCAAACCTGGCTGCAAATGCAGGAACTGCCACTTCCTGGGGAACCTACCTCCCCTCTGGAGCCCTCAGTTCCCACCTGTCCAATGAGAACAGCCACAGGGCCCACCTCGCCAGGCCACGCGGGGATGCCCGGGAGGCAAAGAGCCCTGGACATGGACGTGGGGCGGGGTGCGGGGTGCGGGGTGGGTACCTACCTCACTGGAGTCTTCCTGCTGGTTGATGACAGTGAGGGCATCCTCCGAGGCCTGCCGCCTGGCCTCGGCCAGGGCCCGCTCCATCTTGGCACGCTCTGTGCTGATGAGTTCATGGGCCTTCCGCTCGGCGTCTGACACCGCCTTCTGCAGCTCAGACATCGCCTGCCGCTTGACCTCGTTCACCGCCTCCTCTGCAAAGGACACGTGGCCACGGTCACATGGGCCAGCCTGGCCAGGTCTCGGGGCCTCCTGTCCGTAACCCTGGGGGCCGGGCTTGTGCATCACGGACCACATGCATCCCTGCATGGGTGTGCAAGCGTTGTCATGAGCTTCTCCTGCAGTGTTCTCCAGCTCCAGCAGGCAGCGGCAGATTCGATGCAGGAGGCCTGAGGAGCACCCTAGAACCTGCATTCCTAACAAGTGCCGACGGCCGCCGCCGCCGCTGCTCTCGGCACCCACTTTGAGAACCACCGCTGTATTCCGCCCCACAGACCGTCTGCCTTCCCCTGCGGCCCATCCAGATGCAGTCCAGGGCACGCCTGGTCCGGGGCTCTGCCTTATGATTGCCCACCCAAACCGTCTGTTACTCCTCCACACCTGCCGCCTCTGCCTCTGCAGGTCCGAGGACTAAGCACACTGTTCTAGCGGTGGCCAGTCATCTGCCCAGACCGCATCCTGCCCTCTGACACCGGGAACGATACGGACCCCACCCCAGGAAGCCACCCCCATGGCCGTTTGGGCCTGCCTCAGTTTACCTGGCTGTTCTTGCCGCATAGTGCGGAGGAGTCTGGGTGAGATTCAAGGGGCAGAGATGGCCCTCAAGCCTTCTGCCTGTGTTTGAACACTGTGTACATACGGGGCTGCTGGCAATGCCAACTGCAGCCCCTGAACCCCATGTCACCAACGAGCTCCACATGGCTGTCACCAAGGTTCCCATGAGGCCCCACTGTGGGCCAGACGGAGGCGAAGGGGACGGCAAAGAGAAATGAGGACCCCGTCTTCCTGTCCAGGCCTGCCCCCTGCCTCGATGTAGGCAGCTGCCGCCTGTCGGCCCTTCAGCCTCCGACCCTGAACTGAGACCCTCCACTCTCGCTGCTTTCAAGATTCTGCCTCCTTCTGAGTCACAGTTCACACCGGATCTACCCACAAATCAAAACATACCTGGGGACCCACCTCTTCTCTGCACCGCCACCAACCCCCAGCACCCGCCTCTCCCCCTCTCTCTCGCTGCCTACGGGCTCCAGCTCCCGCCCAGCCCCTCCTCAAAGTCTGTCCCCACCATGCAGTGAATGTCCTCCACAGCATCCCTGTTGCCACGCTCAACACAAGGCCCAGAAGGCCACATGGAGTTCCAGCTCCACGTGCCTCTCCCGTAGGCGCGCGTATCTGTCCACGCTCCTGTGCGTGCTGGCCTGGGCTCTGCCTGCTTTACCGAGCATGGTGTTCCCTGGCAGGTGATGGGCGCCAATCGTCCTACCCTGGATACTAAGCGCACTGGGACCCCTCCATAAGCCCCCTACCAGACAAGCTCCTTGCAGACACAGAGGGCAGGAGGGTCTGGGTCTGCGGCCCCCCAGCTTCTTCCCCCACCGTCCCCACTCACCAGCCTTCCTCCAGATCTCCTCGGGCATGTAACTGGAGAGGGTCCTGGGCATGAACTCCCGGTGCACGTCTGAAACACAGGGGCTGGCGTCACACCCGGGACGAGGCCACAGGGCCACAGGATGGGTGCGTTCTTGGCGGGGGTGCCGAGGTACCCATGGTGGAAACACTGCATCCGTGCTGGGCTGGGGGCAGGGCAGCATCATGATGGGGGAAGCTCTGGACCTGATGGACCTTACATTCAGTGGGGAGCTGGGCCCATCCTGAGCCTCTTGGTTTCCATGGTCACCATCCAGGGGATGAGGGGGGACCCACAGGCCACTGGAACTGAGTCTGGGCTTCCTAGTGGGTCCAGGGCTCTGCACTGTCACCTCCCCCTCGAGCCTCTGTCCTCTCCCCCACTTGCAGCTCAGCCTGCTCAGTGTGTTGGCACCACTGGAACTGAGTCCGGCTTTCTGGTTGGTCAGGCAGTGTCTTTGTGCAGAGCAAAAAGGTACCTCTTTTTCGAGTGGCATTGTACTGCAGAGTGTGTGTGAGCTCTGCTGGCCTGGGTTCTGGGTGCCCCCCCCATCACCCTGCAGAGCCCCTGCACCCCTGCGCTCTCTGCATCACTCCCTCCGTCCTCCCACCCCCACGCTCACCGAGCTGAGACCCCTCTGCTCCTGTCGAGCTGCCGAGGGGCCGGGTGGCGGTGGTCGAGGGGCCCTTCTTGGTGTCCTCAGTATCGCTGTAGCGCCGCACCCAGTGGTTGAGCTCCTCGCGGTCCGCCTCCTGGCACCGGCGCAGCACGGTGAGTGACCGCCGTGTCTTCTCGGCCATGTCCATGATGCAGTTCAGGAGCTGCGGGCGGCGGGCAGCCTCAGCACGTACGGCCCTTTGCCCACACCCTGGGCCTTGGCCAGCCCGCTGTCCATGAAGTTTGGCCATGGGGGGCTTAAGGCAGGGCCTTCACGTGGGGCCCTCCTTGCAAACCTTGAGGTGTGGGCTGCTCCACAGAGCAGATGTGGCCAGCACCACTCTCGGGACCACACCTTCTGCCTTGGCTTTCCCCCCAAAAGGAAGCAGGGGTGAGGATGAACCTGGAAATAGTGCTGAAGGTGTCCCACCCCCACAACAAGTCACCTTCTTCCGGGAGACCCTCTGAAGGGGCAGAGAAGGGAAGGCTCTGAGGGGCTGACTGGAGTGGGGGGCGCTGAGGCGGGTGCCCCCCACCCCATGCTCTCAGGCCCCACTCTTCCCAAGGCCTTGCCCCATGCTCCCCAAGGCCCCAGCCCGTGCCCCCCGGTGGGCAGAGCCAAGGGGAGCCCACCTGAGCCCTGTCCCTGCAGCCCACAGCTGGGAGAGCCCCTGGAGGAGCTGTGGCACCTGTCCCGTGGCCTGGACACTCACGTTGTTGAGGTGCTTCCACTCCTCAGCCCACTCGCGCTCTGTGAGCCTGTGGTCGATCACTTCCTCTGGCCGTGACGCGTGGACCACTGCCGGAGGAGAGTGCATGCTCAGGCCCACCCCACGCTCCCCTGGCTCCACCCCGTGCTTCCTCCTCGGGGCACCCAGAGGCTGTGCCCACCTGGGTAAGATGGACAGGGTGAAGGACACTCCGCACTGACCGTCTGCCCGCTGCCCCGAGGGAGGTCAGCTTCTACTCAGGGAGCTTGAGAGTAAAAATCCGCGTCCCATCCCTTGCTCTGGCTTTGGCCACTCCCCCCACCTCCAAATCCACTGTTCTCACTGTCCTGCCCTCTGCTGCCAAGCAAAGCCTCAGCTCTGGGGCCTCACCACTGCGCGGGAGCCCTCGAGGCCTGTGTCAACTGCCCGGCTCCCGCTCAAGCTGCATCACCTCCTCCAGCCCCTGGACTCCTATGCATCCATCAAAGCCCAGCTTGCAGGCCCTTCCTCCTCAGTAGCCCTGGGCCCTCAGGATTCCTTAAGCCTCGTGTTATCTCTGGTTGTTTGGTAATTACAGGTGCTTCCTTGTTTATTCCTGGCAGCCCCCACTCCAATAGGTGGTGTCAGTTCACAGGATTGGACTGGCATGTCCCATTCTATGTCCCCTGGGCTGAGCGGTGGCCCAGCAAGTACTCCAGCTTCTCTGCTGGGTCTTGAGTGAGCCGGTCTAACTGTGGTCTCCTGGGAGACAGGGGAGGTCAGACAGTAGTCCTGACAATCATTCCCCATGGGACCTGGGACCCTCATTTTGCCTCTCCAGGCCTCAGTTTCCCTACCCTGTGTGGGAAGACTTTCTGGAGGCACGTTGGTGGGGAGCCTGGTACAAGCAGCTCTGTGCCAAGTGCTTTCCACCTTTCCTCCCACACTGACCTCACAGGAGGCCCTGCGGTCATCGGCAGTGTAAGGAGAACTGGGGCTGCTTAAGGGGACGAGTCTGCCCAAGGTCACCCAAGGTCAGCCTGAGCAGAGCCGTGCCTTCAGCCATTGGCCGGTATGGCTCCGGGGACTGAAACAATGGGGTGCTCTTCCCTCTGTCAGAAACAAACCTGCCGTGAGCTGCAGCATGAGTGAAGCTCAGTGTCTGCCTGTCCCCACCATGCTTCTCCGAGCAAGTGCCCCCACCCCGCTGTGTGGGGCGCCCCCGCCTGGGTTGGGTGATGCAGTGCCCATGAATGCTTTTGGGCTGAGGTCTCTCTAGTTAGGCCTTCTTCAGCTCCTAAGGGTCTTCTGGCCCCACAAACGCAAATGTCTCCCCAAACTGCAGAAGGGGTAGGAGGTAGCAGCCACAATCCGCTGTCCACAGCCCTGCCCTGTTGCCTACGGAGCCAGGGCCTTCGCCAACGCCCCAACCAAAATAGTGGCTGAGATCTGCTCGACAGCTGGCATCTATTTTTATATTAGCAGAAGCGGGTGGGAATAGCACCTGCTGACCTGGCCAGAGGGAGCCAGACGCTGTCACCTGCTGCCTGGGCCGGGGCCCTGGAAGCTTCCGCAGGGTGGGGGCGAGGAGACAGCCTTGTATGGAGCGAGGCCTCTACTGACCCTGCCTCCAGGCCCCCGTCTCAGGGGCTGCTGTTTCTAGGCTGTCCCTCAATACAATGGGGGGCCCTTGGAGTAGGGGCTGGTCCTGTTCATCTCTTTGTCCCCTGCAGCTGGTCAGTGGTCAGGCAGATGTAGCTAGAAGACTCTGGGCATGTCCATTATGCTCTCTGGGTCTCAGTCTCTTCATCTGTGATATGGGTGTGCTAACTTATCACACATTTGTCAGAACATATCAGGGCCCACTTAAGAACTGAGTAAAGGACATAATGCCAACAAGAGGTAAGTTCTCTACCTTAGACTTGTTGCCACTATTACCAATAATACCTGGGCCCTACAGACCCTGCTCTGCACCCGGTTAACTCCCTTGGCCCTTATACGACCCCGAGGGGTGAGACTCCTGTTAGAGCCAGCCAACAGAGGAGGAAACCGAGGCATGGAGGTCATGTGACCTGCCCAAGGGCATATTGGGGGAATGACTGGAGCGCAGAGGAAAAGGCAGTCCTGAGCCCTTGGTCCTCCCAGCGCCCACGCTCTTACGAACTTGGTGTTTTGGTGTTCATTTTCATCCCGCCCCAGGAGCAAGATGGGCATGTGCGGTCCACGGGGCTCCGTAGAGCTCTCGAGTCTTAGGGGGTGTCCGCTGTCCCTCAGGGCCCCCAGCAATGCTGCAGGGGGGCCTTGCGGGCAGGGGCATAGCTCCTGTGACCTGGGGACCCCACATGCCAGAACTGCCCACAAGCAGGTTCTTCCTGGCTGCCCTGTGCGTCCCACCTGTGATCATGTGACTTGTAGGAACTACACAGCCGGTCATTCAGATGACCCAAATCTCTCTCTCGTATATGGTCTTCATCCGTTCTCAAAACACTTGGAATTTCCTAAGTGTAGGCAGTGATAAAGGTGTCTTTTGTAAGTGTTACTGAGGTGACTTTGGAACAGGATCAGGGCTAGTTGCTCAAAGAACCAACCATATGAGTAGAGGGTTGAACTTCTAGTTCACCCGTGACCTCCAGGGTGGGGAGAGGGCGGCTGGAGGTCGAATCAATTGCCAATGGCCAATGATTTAATCAATCATGCCTAGATAATGATGCCTTCATTAAATCTCAAGAGAAGGCTTGGAGAACTTCCAGGTGGATGAACACAGAGATTTGGAGAGCGTGATGCACTCAGACAGGGCAGGGAAACTCCTCACCCCGTCCCCATACTTTGCCCTATGCATCTGCTCCATCTGGCTGTTCCTGAGTTACAGCCGCTTACAATACACAGGTGATCTAGTCCTCAAAGGTTTCTCTGAGTCTGTGAGCCATTCTAGCAAGTTAATTGAACCCAAGGTAGCGGTTGTGGGAACCTCTGGTTTATAGTCAGTTGGTCGGAAGCACAAGTGACCACCTGGACTCATGACTGGCATCCGAAGAGTGTGGGCAGTTTTGTGGGACTGGACCCTTAACCTATGGGTCCCAATGCTATCTCCATGAAGAGTGAGTCAGAATCGAGTTCAACTGTTCGGACACTGTGCGGGTATCCAAGAACTGCTTGGTATTGTGTGGGAAGCACCCCCCCCACCCCGATGTGGAAATAGGGTCCAGGAACCTAATTTATTGCCCTCCCTTTGCCCCAGCTGCAGAGCCTAGTGACCTCCCTTTTCTGTTCTCTGTAAGGCAGCGGTTCTCAACCTGTGGGGCGCAACCCCTTTGGGGGTCGAATGACCCTTTCACAGGGGTCGCCGAAGACCACAGGGGCCAGAAACCGAGACACGGCTCCTCTATCCGTCTCCAGGTGGGTCCGCCCACATGCAGATACGCCCACATACTACATGAGGACCTGTATTAAAGGGTCGCGGCATTAGGAAGGTTGAGAACCACTGCTCTAAGGAGAGGAACCCACCTGTACAGGGGCCAAGGACAACTGAAGGGTGTCTGCCCAGCAGATGACCAGAGCCCCTCAAATTGAGTGGCTCTAGGTCCCCAGGCCCTATACCTATCTGCACCTGCCTCAGTCCAGCAGGGACCCCAGAACAGGCACATCCACAGTCATGCCCCTGGGAGGGAAGGGACCTCTTGGGCCCTGAGGGTGAGGATGTTGAACTTCCCCCCCAGATAAAGGTCCAGGAAAGATGGCTCTCCCCTCAGAGGCTTCCTGTCATAGCCTAGACAGGGTGGGGATCCCCTCTGGGCCCTGGGGCCAGTTCCCCGCTCAAATCTTTTCTCTACACCCATTTCCTCTGCGTCTGCTGGACAGACCATGCACACAATAGCTCTTGAACGCCTCCCCCCCGCACAGGTGTACGTGTGCTCCTACTAACACGCACACCTGGGCCACGTGCAGCCCCTACCCCCAAAACACTGCTCACTGAGTTGCCGATGGCGCTCCCGAAGCTCCCGGGGGTCAGGGTGGCGGTAGGGGTCACGGGAGTGGTGGGCCAAAGCCATGTCCTCCAGGCGGTAGTGTGGCGGCGTGGGGTGGGGCAGCCCGTTGCTGGGGCTGTAGCGCTGGGCGGGGCTCAGGGTGCACGGCCGTTTGCTGAGGGGGTCAGGGTGCAGCGGGTCGCGGTCTGACCCATTCTCTTTGGTCCTGGCTCAGAGAGCGGGCAGGAAGTCAGTGGTCGTGGGACAGGAGCCGTGGTTAGAGGTCCGAGCAGGAGGGGAGAGAGGGAAGAGGTGGTGGGCAGAGAGAGAGCAGGGGGAGACAGATTAGACCAGTCTTCTGGGGCCCAGCCTTGGTTCCTGCCCCTGGTGTGCAGGGTCTGGGGCCCGGTGGTCACGAGGCCTGCCCCTCTGTCGAGAGACACCCTCTCCTGGCAGCAGGACAAGCATCCGTCTCTGTGACCCAGCAGTGAGGGCCAGCCCATGGGCCTGGGTACCTCAGGCTCCTGGACACTTGGGGTCCATGTCTAGCACAGACGTGCTAGAATCGCCACAGAATTCCCTCCAGAGAGACTCCCCTCCTGCTTATCCCCCCGATCTCCCAGGGGGACATCTGAGTCCTCAGGAGACCCCACCACAGCCTGCCAGGGCAGCCTCTCCGCGGTGCAGCCTGTGCAGCGGCCTGCAGGTCGGGCTGAACTTGACCAGCTCGCTGGCTCGCTCGCTGCGGGCAGTAGCCCTGACCCACATTCTCTCAGCACTGGAACTAGGGCGCCTGTGGAACTGGGAACCGGAGTCCACGCTAGTCCCTCCACACCTCCCTCCCCAGCCACAGGAAGCCCCCGAGGTACCTGTCGGGTGTCCCCCTCTTGCCGTTCTCATTGACTTCCAGCAGGAGCTCCGAGGAGTCAATGGGGGAAGAGGCGTTGGCATCCAGCAGGAGCTGCTCGTGCTGGGCCAGGTACTGGGCAGGGGTCTGCTTGGCCAGGCGGGCGCAGTGCAGGAGTTCCCGCTGCAGCAAGGGCAGGTTTGCCTTTTGGGGGAGAGAGAGGAGGCTCGGACTCACTGGTGATGGAGGTCAGGGCACAAGGATGCAGCTTTGCTCCGACCCCAGGCAGGGAGGCCGACAGCCAGCCTCCCTGTGTGACTTTGGGCAAGTTGCATAACCTCTCTGGGCACCAGGTTCCTCCACCACAACCTGGGTATGAGGGCAGGAAGGGAGGCTTAGGCAGCAGTGTGGCCCCACCACCCCAGGGCACACAGGGATTTGGGGTACAGTGGGATCTGAGCCCAGATCCTGGTCTCCCAGGCTGGGGCTTTTCCACGTCACTGAGTCCCCTCCATGGCTGCATCTGGAGAAGGTGAGGAGGGATCCTGAGACCACGGTCCCCTGCCTGCGCCCTGTGGGAGCAGGCACCAGGAGACCCACTGTGGGCAGAAGGAAACAAGGGCTCTAAGAGAGGACGCGGACAGCCCCGCGCACAGCCAACTACAGACGGAGGAGCTGGGAGGACCCCCGCGCGTCTGCTCTAACCCCAGGGTGCGGATGGGAAGCCCCTGCACAGCCCTGCGTGAAGCTTGGCGTTTGGGCTGCGCCCATGAGCCTGCCAGTACCACTCTGTGCTGTCAGTCACTGGCTGTGGCTGTCCCGCCACGGTCCTTACAACCACCAGGGATGGACGGCGTGACTGGCTCCACATTGATGGGTAAGGACACCAGGGCACGGGGGGTCAGCACAGGATTCAATGCGGGTCCCACCTGTAGCAACCATGGGTGACAGCTGTGCCCTCCTGCCGTGCCCATACCCTGGCTCCAGGACCTCCCAGAATGCACTGCAGGGCAACAAGCGGGCTTCTCGTGTGCCTTCGGCAGAGTCTCCCCAGAGCCACTGTGGCGGGGGCTGGGGGGTGGGCTGGGGGGCGGGGGGAGGGCAGGCTGGATGGAGGCCCAGCAGCAGGCCACTTGGGAGAGCCAGAGTTCTAAGTATTTGTAAATAATTACAATTCCCCAACTTTCTCATGGTGTTTCAAAGCTGCCACACAAGCCTCTCCTGCCTCTGCCTCCCCAGAAGCCATTAGCACACCCGGACCCAATCAAGCAGCCGAGGAGGTTTCGTCAAGCTGCGCCGGCTGCCAGGCCTGTTTTCCTATTTGGATAGCTGAACGGGGGCCAGCCTGCCATCTGTCGAACATGTTAGGAGCATGAGCTGGGAAAGGAGGTCCCGGGAGGTCTGAAGACGCCAAACATCCTCCTCTCCCTTGCCGGCCCCTCCTCTCTCCTGAGCAGCCTCCCTCTGGCTGGCCCGGCTGGGCAGGACCGCTCGGGCACCGGCTGGTCTGGTCGCTGTTGGGGTGGTAGAAACATCTGGATTCTTGGCCGGCTGGGGCCAGCTGGGAGCCGGGCTCTGGGTGGAGGCTGGCTGGGCGGGGCAGCCTCCTCCAGCTTCTGGAAAGCCCGGCCAGTCGGCCACGCACAGCCTTGGGCTCAGGAGAGGGTGCAGGGACCCAGGGTCCTTGGGGAGAGACGATGGAGAGCTGCATCTCATAATTCCCCCAGTGAGCAGTCCCCTCGTGTCCCCAAAGGCCCAGGTGCCAGAGAAGCCACTTTGATGCCGGATAGACCAAACTGGCGGCAAAAACCCTCTCTGGACCTCCACTCCACGGTCTGAATGAAGGTTCTGACACTGCAGAAAAGCCTGGAACTGCTCTCTTCACAGCTGGGGACTCTGGCCAGAGGGAAATCAGTGTTTGCAAAAACAACAATTGCCATACCGGTGTGGCTCAGTGGACTGAGAGGTCCCGGTTCGATTCCCGGTCAGGGCATGTGTCTGGCTTACCAGCTCGGTCCCCAGTGGGGGTCGTGCAGGAGGCAGCCGATCAATGTTTCTCTCTCACAGTGATGTATCTCTCTCTCTCTCCCTTCCCCTTGCTCTAAAAAAAATCAATGAAAACATTTAAAAACAAACAAACAAAATGCCAGGCTGCGTGGCTCAGTGGTTGAGCATCGACCCATGCAGCAACAGGTCGCTGGTTCGATTCCCAGTCAGGGCATATGCCCAGGTTGTGGGCCCGATCCCCAGTGGGGGGCGTGCAGGAGGTGGCCAGTCGATGTTCTCTCTCATCAATGTTTCTCTCTCTCTCTCCCTCTCCTTTCCTCTCTCTCTAAAAAGAAAAAAACAAACAAAAAAATAAACCACAACAGTGTTAGCTGATCTGACGTCTCCCACTTAACGAGGTTTTATGATGCGTCTGCTGCTTCACCAAGCACTCCATCTAAGACCCACACAGACTGCATGGCTGTGGCCAGCTCACCCTGCTCTGCTGTGTGACCTTGGGCAAGTCACTGAACTCCTTTGACTTTTGCTTCATCTGCAACTGGAGCTGTGAAAAGCACCTGCTCCTCCCGTCCTGAGTATGATGAGCTCCTGAGAGCTTCTTATGAATTAACTCATCCATCCCAGCCCCTGTGAGGTAGGCTGTCACATCCCGGGGGATGGGGAGCGGACGGAGGCCGGAGTCTTTCAGAAGCCCATTGTTGGAGCTGGGGTTTGAGCCAGGTGGCTGCCTGGGCTCATTCTCAGCCTCAGTTCCTGCCTCTCTGCAGTATGACAGCCCCAAGGGCCCTTCTGTGCGGGTATATCACCGCTGCCCATACAGTGGGCCTGGGGCACCATCGTGCCGCAAAGGTCACAGAGGAGGTGGCACAGTGGGCTGGGCAGGGGGCACTCCTGCTGGGATCCCCCACAATGCCCTGCATTCTACAGCTGCCAGAGCTCCTACAACAAGGAGGGTAGGGGCTGCTTCCCAGGCAGGACCACGGGCCAGGCTGGATGGGGCTTTGTCATCGAGCCCTGGCAACAGAGCCACTACACCGCAGGAGCTGCATGTCAGTGAGAGGAATGGACTCTGTGTCCTTGACGGTCCTGTTGACTGAGGGCCCTGGGTGGGATCCCAGGCCCTCGGCACCGCAGGCAGGCCCCCCACCCTATAGAAAGAGCAATCTAAGCACAAAAGCCCTAATAGCACGTGAGAACCGCTGTAGGCAGAGGGGAAACTGAGGCAGAGAGGTACCTCAGAAGGCAGTGCTAGGCTGGGCATGTCCTGTCCAGTGCCTCATTGAGGTGTGTCTGGGAGGATGCCGGGGTGCAAGGTGCAGGGGGCAGTGGGCAAGGCCTGGCTGGGGCGGGCAGGGGACGAGGATACGGGCCCTACCCCTGCTCCGCAGATAAACAAGGGCAGCTGACGCGGGCGGGCTGGACATGTGCTGTAAATATTTGATCCGACAGAATAAGCAGGCGCACTGTGTCCCCAAAGACGGGGAGCGGTGGAGTCAGCAGTAAGTTGAAAGGAGGAGAGAGAAGGGAAGGGCTCCTAATGAATTGCAAATGACTGCCAGATGGGCCCAAACCCTGCTCCATGCCAGCAGCCGCTTTGTCGCCAGCTCAGGAGTGTGAGCACAGTGGGGTGTGGGCGGAAGGGCAGGCGGGAGGGAGGAGGAAGTAGATGTGGGGACACGACGTGGGGTCCCCTTGGCAAGGGACCGCAGGGGACAAGGTGCGGGTCTGGGGCACACCCTGTGAAGGCAGGGGTGTCTGGAGTCTGATGAATCCAGGTTCCAGCCTTGGCTCCATCTCTCCACCAGTGGGGGAGACCTCAGGGCCTCAGTTTCCCCACCTGTTAATCAGGAACTGTGCCTGTGCCGCCCCTCCTCACAGGGCTGCTGGGGGTCAGCAGGGGCGGTATCGAAAGCGTGTCGCAAAGCATGTCTGCAGAACATTTTTAAATCCCCAGATGACGAAAGCCAAGTCTTCGCGTGCACTGCGTCATGCAATCTCCCCGACAGCCTGAGAATGATTCCCATTTCACAGTTGCAGAAACTGAGGCACAGAGGGGTGAACCAGCCAGGCCCAGGCCAACAGGGGCTCGGTTGCAGGGGCAGGGCTCAAACCTGGGAGCATCTGGTCTGGTCTGTCCTCAGACCCTCTGGAAGGCAGGGCCTGGCCATGCAGTGAGCAGCTCAGAGGCCTGGGAAACGAGAGCCCCAGGGAGGCCAGCAACGCTCAGTTGGGGCATCTCCCAAGTGAGCCCCAGGAAACCCTGACCTCAGGAGGGTCACGGGGTCAAATACATTTGGGAATTCTTTCATCCTGGCCACCCTGGGAGGCAGGTGACCCTTGTTTAGGGGACTGAAGACCCTGAGAAGTACCACAGTGAAGACTGTTCTGACATCATGTAGGCCTGTGCTTGTCCTTTTAAAAACCCCAGTTCTGATTCAGTGGGTCTGGGCCAAGCCCAGGAACCTACATTGCTCAGAAGCTCTTGGTGCTGCTGCCGCCAGACACCAGCTATTCCCGCTGAGAAGCCCTGGTCCGTTGTTGATCTGCCATGTTTGATACACGACCTTTTTTTTTTTTTTACATCTGACAGCATTCATTTATCCACCTTTCCACCGACACAACCACTCACCATCTGTCTGTCCACCCACCTGTCCCTCCATCTGTCTACTATCCCTTTTCCCCTTACTCTGTTCCAGCTACACAGCCCCCTCCCTGTCCCTCAAACACAGTCCTTCTTCAGGGACTTCGCACATGCTTGGAAGGCAGGCTCTGTGGCCTGATACCCACCAGGATCCCCTCCTCCCCTCCACCGCCCTCTCGTGTGCCACCTTGTGTCACCCATCACAGAATCTATAGCCACTGCTGGTTGGCTGTCTCCCTTCCTACCAGGCCACAGGCTCCAGAAGAGACTGTGTCTACTTTGCTCACAGCTATATCCCTAAGCCTGGCACAGTACCTGGCACATAGTAGGTGCTCAAAAAAATGGCTGTCCAGTAGACGAGTGCCTTTGGCCCATGATAACAGGACTGATGGGGAGCTCTATCTAAGGGCACAGGGTTTGGTGGCCGACTGATCCGGGCTGGCTACTAGTCAGAGCTGTTCCCGGGGTACTGAGGGGCTGAGCATAGTGCCTGGCCAGGGCCAGCAGGGAATGAACTTGGGGCTCCTGGGGGAGGCCTCGGCGCGAGGGAGCAGGGTTTGCTGTTACCTTCAGGAAAGGGATGACGAATGGACGCAGTGGGAAGTTGGTGGCTTCCTGGAGCTTGGAATGAAACTCCTCAATGGTCAGTGTCGAGTTCTGAGGGGAGAAAGCATCACGCATCAGCCCAAGCCCCGTCCACCCAGCCCGGAGAGGGCAGGAGGCCCGGGGGCTGGGCACGGCCCCGTGTCCCCACCCAGCAGACACATGTCCTCTGTGATGGCGTGGCCCGACTCACCACAAGCCCCAGCACAAGCGTGCGGACGCGCTCCCCGATCTCCGGGGAGATGTCGCTGCCGAACTGCTGCAGGGTGGTGAGGAAGCGCTTGAGTTTGCTGAGCTGCCGGGCCCCGCAGGCGGGGGGCAGGTGCTGTGTGGACAGTGAGGCCGTGGACGAGGTGGCCGGGCCGTTGCTGAAGCCATTGGGCGTGGATGGGGTGCCGTTGATGGCCGTTGGCGAGTGGCTGCTGCCGTTCATTACTGTGGGGGGAGGGGGGTGTGAGCACAGCAGAGAGCTGAGAACCGCACAGAGTCACAGGGGTGCAGGGGGGCACCAGTGCCCTCATGGATGTGTACACTGGGGCTTGGAAAGTGCAGCCTCGCCCCAGGTCCTCAGTGGGCGGGGGCTGCTTGGCCAGACGATTCACACCCCAGGGGGACACGGGGCCTGCACCCATCTCCAGCCTGGCTGTTAAGTGTCCACTGCGAACAGACAGGGGCTTCTCCACGATCAGGGATCTGCTAGTCCACTTCCACTCTTCTCAGGAGAGGTCACTCATCCCCCCTGAGGGACTGGTGAGCCCTCCTCCACCCCGACAGCCCTGAGAGATTCCCACTCCCAAACAGGTGCTGTTACCCACAGAAGGGCCCCAGTGCCTGAGCTGACGGGGCCCGGGACATGCAGGGTTGGATCCTGGTGGGAGCTGCTGGCTGGCGCTGCCGCACAGGCAGCCACTGTGTGCACGTGCGGAGGACCACACGTTCCCTACGGGACCCGCGTGAACACACGGCAGGGGCCTCCGGGGCAGCATGTTAGTTACCCAGGCCCTGGGGATAGCGTCCCAGGGCTGGCAGAGACCGTGGTGCTGTGAAATGGTCCTGGGCAGGACCTCCCCCCTCAGCTCGGGTGACAGAGCCTTCACTCTGGAGGCTAGGCAGCCCTCTGTGCCGACCACCTGCACCCCAGTCTCCTAGCCTCAGAAACCCTCGTGGTGACCACGAGGTCAAAGGTCACAGGCTCCCAGGGCCTTTGGTAAGGTGGAGTGGCCCGGGGCGGGGGTGGGCTGGGGAAGCAGGACACCTGAGGCCGCTCACACTTTGCATCCTCGGCGGCCACACAGGCACCTGCTCCAGGGACTCATGCACATCCTTGCACTCAGCCCTCGCACGCTCATCCGCTCATCCGCCTGCTGCCTCATCCTGCTCCTGTGGGCACTCCTGGCACGGGGGTTGGGAGCGGGTGTCCTGCCCGAGGCCCCATCCTGCCTGGACCACCTTAGACATGGGTCTGGCCTCAGTTTCTCCATGCAAACGGCCCTTGGCCCAAACCAGGGGTGGGGCTGCTCCCGTCCACAGGTGCCTGCCTGGCCCCTCTGCTCCAGGCTTCCCTGGCTTACAGAGCCCAGGTTGTCCTCCACCACCGGGGAGCTGGAAATGCTTGACCTTGATTGCGTTGACATGTGGGTGACCACTCATCAATACTGTCCCCCACGTAGCAGAGGTTGGAAACCACTGACTAACACCAGGGTTGACGCAAGAACGTGTGCCGCCTCCCTCGTGGGGGGATGGACGTGTGCAGGAATGGTCGCCCGGCGCCCTGCTCCTGGGGCTCCAGACCGTCTCAGCACAGCCTTCCCTCCCCTCGAGAGGGAGACACACGTTGGAACCTGTTTGCCTCCCTGGTCTGGATGATCTCAGAAGCACCTCTGGGCCCTACCAGTGACACACCGGCTCTGGAAGCCCCGCAGGAGAGGTGTGCCCCACTCGGGCCTTCCCTCCTGCTCTGGGATGAAAAGTGAACTCCAGACACCGAGCAAAGGCATCATCCAGAGGACCCTTGCACAGACCAGAAGACCCCGTGGTTGCGCGAATTTTCTGTCTCACCAGCAAGCTCCAGCCAACCCCACGGCAGACCCTGACACACACACGCACACACACACACACACACCCTGATCAAGACTGATGACAGCCTCTGGCTGTCACTCCAGCCGGGCCAGGAGATGGCCCACTGCCACAGGAGACCTCTCCACAGCGGGGGGCTCATTCCATGTGGCAGGGTTGGGCTATCACCTGGGGTCTGGACCTTCCAGAGGCTTCTAAGACATGTGGCCGTCCATGCTGCCTGGGTCCCCCCGGCCCCTGGCCCAGCCTGGGCCTGGCCTCCCTGCAGCTCCCTTACCAGCCTGCCCTCGGAGCCTGGGTCCTCCCGGAGGCCTGCTTGCCCTCGCTGGCCCGTGTTCCCTCCCTCGGGCTGCCGGGCAGTCTCAGCAGCTTGCTAAAGAGACGCCGAAAATAACCGCCGGCCACAAGTGCTTTCATTCCACAACAGGTGTGTTACTAAGTTAGACTGCACACGTGTCCCCGGCTGAGGTTTGGGGGCACACACTAGCACCCCCGCAGCTCCCCAGCCCCAGGCCTGGGCGGGGGTCAGGCTGGGATGATGAACCAACAAACAGCCCCTCTCTCTGCTGCAGGGGCAGCCCCGGGGCTGGGAATCCGTCCTGAGCGCTGCAGCTCAGCGGATGAGCTGGACACGAGCGTGAGGCCAGGCATCACAGAATAATGGCCACGAGGACCGTGCATCGCAGAACATAAATAATGCACAACCATTATGTCACCTCTGCTTGGAGCCCAGAGCTGCGCGGCAGCCATGCCTGGGCTGTGCAGCCCGACTGGTGCGCAGGGGGTGCCTGTCCTGACGCTGGGTGACAAACACTGAGCATCGCTCCACAAACACTTCCTGCTATGGACACTGGCTGTGGCCTGAGCACTTGGACGGAAATGTCCACTAGTGACCAACGTCCACTGAGCACCCAGTGTGTGCCAGGCTTGCGCTGACGCCACTAGCAGCATCTGATGACTTCTAGGTGGGGAAACTGAGGCAAGACCACCCCACTGGAAAGAGGAGGAGCTGGGACTTGATCCCGGCGGGGTTCTGCCCTTGAGACACCTCGCTACAGAGGTGCACTGACATTCCACCTTCTCACAACTCGGGGATCTGCCATATTCATCCTGTTCGGTGGACGGGGAAAAAGGAACACAGAGAGGGTGTCTACCTGCCTAACATCACACAGCTTGTGAGGAGCAGGGCTGGGGTGTGACTGTGGGTCTGAGGACTGCTCTGCTCCCTTGGACCTCACGGACAGGCAGATGCAGCAGTGCACTGTGCGGGCAAGGGGGGCCACGGGCAAGGCCTTCTCAGGGCAGAGGGTGTGGGTGACGACCTCCCGGGAGGCCTGTGGTTTTTGTTATTTTACTTACAAAGACAGACCATAGACCATTTTAAGCAGCCATGAAAACGGCCGTGGGGCAGAGACATCGCAGGCCCGTCCTCTCGATCTGTAAGCAAAATAAGAAAAACACTCTGTGAGGCAAGGGGCCGCGGGCAGGTGGCTCTGCCCTGTGGGGTGTCTGCAGTTGGCCCCTCCCCCTCTGCTTCAGGACAGCAGTTTTGGGGATTGGGACTGTCACCGCCTTAGGCCAGTCATTCCCTTCTTTAGGCCTCAGTTTTTCTCTGTAAAATGATGGGGCTTGATCGTGGAATCTCTCAGGGACGTTTCTGGCAGGACCTTGTAGGGTCCCATAAGAATTTTGGCATCGCTATCTGCCTGAGCGGGACACCTGGTTTTTAAAAAGTTCTCTTTCTGGAAGGTGCCTGGGGACCCCACTCAGCACCATCCTCAAGAGACCTGGAGCCTGGAGCTGACTTGTGAATCTGGGCTTGGGCCTCTCCGCCAAGAAACAACCCAATGGTGGTTCCAAAATGAAGCCCAAGCTGCTGTGAGAGAAGGGAGCACCAAACAGGAAGGGAGATTTGATTTGTCTGAGCTGGAGTTAGTGAGTGGAAGCCACAAGGAGACAAGATGTACTGCTGTAATCAGAGAGTGAGCCTCCCGTCATGGGGGTAATCAAGGGCAGGATGGAATGTTGGCCCTTTGAGGGTCCTCCCAGCTGCAGAGTAGCTCCTTACATTCCTTCCCAGAGATCTCTCAGCCCTCCTGCTCACCTCCCTGGCCACACCACAGTTTCAACTCCAAAATAAATTTGTGCCCAGGACAGTCACTGGGTAGGAAAACCACAACCCTCAAGCCCTGGTTCAAGGTCAGCCTCTGGTCAGCTGGCTCACAGGCTGGACCTGGGGAAGCTGGGGAAGCTCTTGGCAGGAATCTGCCGCTGAGCAGAGGCTCTGTCCATTCAGGCTGCCACCAGCCAGGTGCAGGACGTGGTTAACCACACCGCTTTCAGGGAATTCTTCGGTAGGGAACAAATCTGAGGCCACCTAGAGGTGGCCTGACACCCAGATATATGGCCCCAGCAGCCCAAGGAAACTAAAGCGTCAGCTTAGAAAAGAACCACTTGTCTCCTATGACCTCTGTGCTCTAAATAGAGCCAGGACCTCGAATCCAGGAGCGTGAGCCCACAGTGGTGGGGGTGCACAAGGATGGGAGGGGGGAAGGGGAGACTCCCGAGCCACACACAGGGCTGCCGCCCGCACGCACATCTGGTCACAGACCTCCTGAAAGCACACGGGGGTGGTGTCAGCTGACCTTAGCTCTGTCCCCAACCTGAAACATCTGGCCCTCAGACCACTGCTTTCTGGAACAGGGGCTCCTGGACCAAGAAGAAAAGCAGGCTGAGGGAGACGTACGCACCCATAAGGGTCAGGACAACAGTCTGCTGGTTTCTCCTGCTTGGAAATGAACACAGGTGGGTCGTCACTTTAGGTGGTGGCCTAAGGTCTTTTTTCTAGGAAGCTGCTGCTGCCCTGTCATGAGTAAGTCCTTTTCTGCTTGGCTGAGGTAGAGGCTGTGAAGTTAGACACACGAGCCTCCCCTCTCTACCTCTGGGGCCCCGATGGGTGGCAATGCTGAGCAGACGGAGATGCTGCCTGCGTTTCAGTCCGCGGTGAGGACTGACTCTCCTGGAAGAGAAGGAGGGGTGACCAGGCGGCCAGTGGCCACGCAGAATGACGTGTGGGAGAAAGCCAAGCCTCTGGCCCCCACTAGTGTGGCGGATACAGGCAGACGAGACCTCTGGGCTGAGAACCATGGAGTGAGAGACCTGCTGCCTTGGGGCCGTCCTGGTGCAGGAGGCAGGGCTGGGGACCCGTCCTCGTCTCTGTCATGCATGGGGACCCCGGCTCAGACCGGTAGAAAGGGGCAGGAGCTGGAACCTTCTGTGCCAGGTGAAGGTGCAGGGAGGGGTTGATCACTAAACTCCTACCATGTGCTGGGATGTCCCTACCTTCAGGCGGCCACATGTGGCAGCAGGTGGTGTCACCCCGTATGTCAAACTAAGGCTCGGAGGGTCAGGAGACTGGCTTAAGCCAACATCCTACAAACAAAAAGCCAATGCCTTTTTCCTGAGGGAGGCCCGGTCACGAAGAAGCTGGGGCCGGCCTCGGGTGGCAGAACCAGTTCCCTGTGTGTCCAGGGGTGAAGAGATGCAGCCCGGGCCCTGTGGTCCACCCCAGGCTCTGGACAGAGCTCTGGGCCCTGGCTGGAGGCAGCAGCTCCTACTTCTTAGCCCAGTGGGGACCAGGAGCCACAGGCTAAGGAGTTTGAGGCTCCTGCCACACTGGAGAGTCTTCATTTGGGTTCCAAAGCCTGGGGAAGGGTCCTAGGGTGTGGGGCTTCTGGCCTCTGAACCTAGGGGTGGGGGCGGCACACGGGTTCTCTCCATTGCCCACCGGAAGCCCTTAGGACACACTGCTCGGCCCCTGGCCTTGGGGTCAGGGGACCCCATCCCCAACACCGGCCCAAGCCTGAGGGTTTCCTTCCCAACTGTTCAGACCCAAAGTCACCGAGTCCCCAGCTTGTGTAAGGAACAGGACTCCAGCAGTGGTGGTGGGCTCCGGAGGACCCAGAGCCACCATGAGTGCCGAGACACTCAACCTGGACGTGCCCAGGGCTGGCGAGACACTGCCTGAGGGTCTGCTGCTGGCAGCTGAGGCCCTGCTGAGCCCCGTCTCTGGCCAACCCACACCCCCCACTGAGGCCTGGCTGCAGAACCCCGGGATCTGAGCCAGCGCGCGCTCCGCGCCGGCCAGAGCCCCCTCCGACGGGCTCTCCAGCAGGGTGCAGGCCTGACGAATTCACCCCGACCCTCTCCGAGTTCCAAATACAACAGCCAGCTTTGCTGGAACGCTCGCAATATGCCGGCCACTGGGTGAGAACTTCTTTTAACTCACTTGTCTTCACAGCAGCCTGGTGAGGCAGGGGCTACGGCCAGACCTGCCTTACAGATGAGGAACGCCAGGCCCAGAGAAGTCAAGTAGCTTGCCCGAGGGCACACAGCTACAAAGCGGAAGAGCTGGGATTTGGACCGCAAGGCTTGGCCTCTGAGCCACGATGGGATCCTCCTCTCAAGGGCCCAAGGGTGGGTGTTTAGGGGTTCAGGGCGGGGGGACCGTAGCATTGGCTCTAGTAGCATGAAATGAGGTTGGGTGCCTCAGACAACTTCCAGGGCCCCAGAGACCTCTCTGCTCTGCCCCTTGGGTGCCCGGCCCTGGAGTTACTCACTTGTGTGGGGCGTGAAGGAGGAGTGCCGTGTGGTGCCCTGGGACGCAGAGGGTGGAGGGGGTGGCATGCTGGGGGGCGTGGACCGGGGCTGTGTCTTCACCTCCGCGGGGGAGTCAGGCATCGCTGCAGCCTTCTTCTCCTTCCTGTCCCCTGCTGGGGAAGGGGGGGTGGGGGGAGAAAAAGAGAAAACCAGTGAAGCAGGCTAGAGGGGAGGGGTCAGCACCTCCACAGCCCCACCTAGTGCCTGGCCAAGCTGACCCCCAGACAGTAGCTGGGGACCCAGGTGGGGGATACCCACCTGGACCCAAGATGGCTCCTGTTTCTCCCCACAAAGCCAGATCCAGTCCCAAGGCCTGGCCAATCCCAGATAAGCCCCAGGTGTGTTCACAGGTGGCTGATATCCCATCCACCTGGGACCATAGGGTGGGTTTGGGGTGGCCCATTTCAGGTAGGCTGGAGGGTGCAGCTGCAAGAGCCTGGGCTGGCCAGAATGGGGCGGGGATCCTCCCTGGGGTGGGGTGGGGGCTCTGGCCCTGCAGACCAGGGAGTCGGGCAGCACCCACTGAGGCAACCTCCACCAGCACCTCCTGAGGGGCCTATTCAGACGCACATGCCTACCTCCCCCCATTTCTGACTAAGCAGGTGTGGGGTGGGCCTGAGAATCTGTGTTTCCATCAGTGTCCCAGGGTAAGCCTACAGTGGCTTGGGGTCCCATTCAGGTTGGTCTGGGAGGGGGGGTCTTCCAGGAGGCACTGGGTGGCAGGAATCTCTTTTTAACCATCTCCTGGCCCTGAGCAATTCCTGAGAGCAGCCAGGCTGGAGACATGGTCAATATCGGGCTGTTCTAGACCTGGCGCCACAAAGCAGGACCTAGAGGAAAGGCCCCTGATTGAACCTGACCAGCCTCACACACCTGGGCCTTCTTTGCAGGTGGAGGGGGGAGAACATGGGCCTCCCCCTAAGGGTCAGCCAGGGCCCTGGTAGGACACAAGACGTGGGAGCGGTGGCCAGGATTTCAGGTGGCCCAGCTGCTCGGGCGGTGGAGCTGGGCGTTCTCGACCTGTTACACGGAAGTGCAGCCCACCCTGCCCTGCGCTCGTCTTGCTAACGCAGGTGGGGTCTCCCCCAGGGCCAGGGGATAGCGAGGCAGAACCACTGTCGAGCGCAATACCCCTTAGCAGTCACTATGTGATTACAGTTCTTCCCCCCTCTGCTCTCCCCCAGTCTCCCCCCACCCCAAGGGCCCCCCATGATCAGGGCAGATGCTTAGACACTCACGTGTGTGTGGGGTGGCCTGCCTCTGGGGATGGTGATTAATAACGCTGACAAGTGCCATTTACCATTATCTCATGCTCAATACTGTGCAAACCTCCCTTCATCTCCCCCTGCCTCCCCTTCACGGAGGAGACGCCCACCTGTCCGCAGCACTGGGAGGGGCTCTCAGCCCTCCACACTCCACGGCCCTGCGGGGGGAGAGTGAAACCCCTTCCCTGCTGGGCCCCATGGGGGGAAGCAGCCAGAATCAGCAGCCACCCAGCCGCGCAGCACCTGCTGTCCACTCAGCTGCAGCCGCTGGCCTCCCTCCCATCGGGCACCCTGCTCCCCCTTCCCCACAGCCAGCCTGTCAGGAGGCTGATGGCTGGGCACACGTGCATCACAGCTGTGGGGCCCGTCAACACCATGCCTGGCTGCAGGGCCGGTGGCCAGTCCCCGGTGACAACCAAAGAAGGCAAGCGTGGCTGGCCGCCGTGGGCCTTGGGCCACCTCTAAGGGTGCAGGCTGTCCTGGCCAGCCCTTCATCTGACCAGGCCACCCCAGGGCAGGCGGTGCCACCAGGATGCTTGGAAGGGTGTTTCGGATGCCAACCTGGGACACGGGACTCAGGGCCTGTTCTGATTTCCCAAAGCCCTTCCACACTGGGGCTTGGCAGGAGCCTGAGAGATGGAACAGACCAGAAAAGCAGACACAGGAAAACCCCACTGGGGAGAAGTGGGAGGACCCTGCCAGGGCCACCTCAATGAACGGACATTCCTTACACGGTGCGTGTAACCTCAGTGGTTAGGGAGAGGCAGAGCAAGGGTCCAGGCAGAACCAGCTCGACACGTCACACTATCTCCACAGCCCCTGAGAAACGGGCTCTGGATACACTCATCCCTCGAAGCCTGCTGGACTGGAGGATGGAGCAGGCAGAGCCCCACTGGAGCAGGAAAGGAAAGGGGGCAGGCCCAAGGCCATCCATGTAGGAGGCAGGTCTTGCTCTCGGCACTGGACAGTCATCATTCCCTTTATTCTCACCAAACCCTGTTTTGCAGGCACAGAGAGGTACAGTAATTTGCCCAAGGGCACACAGCAAGTATGGGTGCATCCCTGCAGAGTCACATGGGTCTGCAGGGTTTCAAAGCCTTGATTGTCACCAAACAGGCACCCTGCTCCTTTTATTTTTTCATTTTATTTAAAAAAAATTTTTTTTTCTTTATTGATTTTAGAGAGAGAGGAAGTGAGAAGGAGAGAGAGATAAAAACATCGATGAGAGAGAACATCAACTGGCCGCCTCCTGCATGACCCCCACTGGGGAATCAGGCCCACAACCTGGGCGTGTGTCCTGACTGGGAATCGAACCGGCGACCTCTTGGTGCATGGGTCCACGCTCAACCACTGAGCCACACCGGCCGGACTACCCTTCTCCTTTTAGAAGAGGCATCAAGTCTGGGATTCAAACCCAGGTTGACTGAGACTGCAGGGTGGGGCACCTCTGTTGTCCCACCTCCCACCTGGATCACAGGTGTACCATATGGGACCTCATGAGTCTTTCTTGAATCTTGCTTGAGCCCTGGTTCTATTCCCTTCTGGCTATGTGACCTAGGGCAAGTCACCTCACCTCTCTGAACCTCTCTACTCTTCTATAAGGGGGTGATGGCGAGCACCTTCCACCGGGCAGCTGGGAGGTCAGATGAGATCAGGCGAAGGGTCTGCACAGTGAGCACTCAGCGAATTTGGCAGATTTATAGAGCAACTCATGCCTGGGTCCCTGCTCTCAAGCACCGAGGAGAGGTGGTGTGGAGATGGTGAGGAACAGCATTTGTGGTCAAGGAACAGAGAATGCAAAGGCCAGAGGTGAGAGTGTCCGGGGCCTCTAGTTGTGCAGAAAATCGGGACGGAAGGTCAGCTGGGGCCAGCTGGCGAGTGCAGACTGACTGCCTGGCAGTGGGAGCCACGGAAGGCTCTGCACAGCAGCTGGGGCAGGACTTGGTGTGCACACTGTTTCTCTGGCCTAAATCCCTTCGGCAGCTCCCATGCACAGGGATGGACCAGGCCTCGCCAGGCTTGTGTGGCCTGAGGGCAAATGCAGGAGCCTTTCTAGGCTCCAAGAAGCCACTAGACAGGCAGCCCGTTCTCCCAGTGCTGGCTTCCTGCCCCGCCCCCTTCAAGGCCTCCTGCTGAGCAAAGGCTGCTCCTGGACGCCCCAGGCCCACTGGGAGGCTCAGACCCCCAGCAGCTCTCATAGGACCTCCCTGCCCACGGTAGCCAAGTGCAGGGACAACCAGGAGGGACCCTGTGCTCATAACCCAGTGAGGCCAGGAGCTGGTCAGGGCCTGGGGGGGAATGAGGAGTGCAGGGGAAGGGCCCCACTGTTGGATGCTGGGTGCCAGCGAGGGGATACAGTCCGCTTCCTACCGAGGCTGCCGAGGGTACCAGCATGAGTCGGCTCAGATGCTGCCGAGGTACCAGCAAGTCCAGACCACCACCCAGACACCTGGGCCAGCCCCATGAGACACGCTTCCCCTCCCTCCTCCTCCTCCCCCCTCTCGGTCCCCCCACCCTCCAGCGTCCACTCTCAGGCGTCCTCAGACCCAGGCGGAGCTAGGCCCGTGCCCTGCGTGTCCACCCAGCATCTCGGTGAATGCTCACAGCCTCCCAGAAAGCACTGTCAGGACCCAGGCACTGGCTCCTGAAGGTCGCATCAGACCCCTGAGCGGGCACTGTCCCCTGTGCCCACCAGGCTTCTGTTTCCCCGGCTTCCATTCTGGGGTCATCTTGGTGCTCTCAGTACCCATGAACCCTCAACCCCAAAGTGGGGCTCTCTACGAACATGCCCCATTTTTAGGGCGCCCTGATTCGGCAGGTCTGGGGTAGGGCCCAGGCAGCTGGATGTATGTCTTAACTTTTTTCTCGTAAGATGAACATGTAACAGCTGCCTCCGTGCAGGGCTCACCAGGTGTCCCGCACGCATCAGCTCACCCACCTCTCAGCTCAGTAGAAGCAAAGCAACCCCAGCACTGCTTTTATGAGGGAGCCCATATTCCAGCTGCGGGCCCCACTGTACCTTCACAGCACGCGGCAGACCCCACTATCAGGCCCACTGTAGCTGGGGAAACAGGCTCAGAGAGGGCAAGGGACTTGCTCAGGGTCTCAGAGCCTGACAGCAGGGCCTGGGCCCCGGGCGTCCATAGCCCCTCCAGCTCCCTCGCAGCACAGTCACTGGGGAGACTGGAAAGGTCAATTACCAGGCCAGCTGGGCTCAGACCCAGTGCCGCTTGGACGCCACGTGGGCCAACCGGAGCACGGAAAGTGCAGCCACCTGGGGTTTGGGGTTGGGGCAGGAGGTCCATCACTGCTCTGAGTCAGTGCGTGGTTTCCCAGGTGGCCCGACTCTGGACAGGTGAGCACAAGGCCCGTCCTCCCCAGTGCATGGGGCTCTCTCCGGATCTCCGAGCACCCGGGAAGGAGAAATGAGACCCAGCCACCAGGGTCCCCCGCCTCTCCCAGCCCTGTCCGCAGCCTGGGGGCAAAGCCAGTGTTGGTGACAGCCCCAGGACCCTGGCTGACACGGGCACCCTGGTTCTTTCTTTCTAGATGTCCTGTCAGGCCAGCTGTGCAAGTGTAGACACCTGCCTTAGTGAGACGAGGGTCAACCTTGCAGGAGCTCGGAGCCTTGTCACCTGACACTAGGGGTCCCGTCAGCCCTCCTGAGGTCCTGCACCGTGTCACAGACAGAATAGGGGCCCCTTACCCTGTGGTCCCGGTTCAGAGGTGGGCAGTTGGGAGGCGAGGGGCCCACAGCACCAGGGAGCCCCAACATGCACAGACAGGGACATTCACTCTGTCTCGGGACTGGTCAGCTGACTTGTGTAGCCTTTGCACAACCCTTGGAG